GCTTTGTACGCGGACTGGTCCGGTCCACATCTGATTTTCTGTGTCTGTAAAATTGCCTTTACCCTCTAATCTGAAATAATGTTAAAATAAAGACATCAGCTTGATATCTACAAAATTCATAATGAACAGTTCCAAAAAAATTAAAGCTGGACAAGTCCATGAATCATAATTAGTCATGTACCAAAAAACAAATGAGCCGCGTCACGACAAAACCAACATAATGGGTTTGCGACCAGCATGGATCCAGACCAGCCTGCGCATCCGTGCAGTCTGATCAGGATCCATGCTGTTCGCTTACCAACTCTATTACAAGTAGAGAAACTGATAGCGAACAGCATGGATCCTGATCAGACTGCGCGGATTTGAGGCTGGTCTGTATCCATGCTGGTCGCAAACCCATTATGTTGGTTTTGTCATGACACCGCTCAAATGATGATGCCTGAATAAAATAAAGTTCATTTTACTTTAAGCTAATCAAGTAATCAGCTTTGTCACCTATATAGGTAAAACTATGGTCTATACTTTACCTATTTTCATGAAATTCTCCTTCGTAGCTGGAGCCATTGGGCCATGTATAAACTCCATGGCCGTGGAACTGGTTGTTTGACAAATTCTCCCTGTATAGAATGAGCCAAATGATGTGACAATTTGCCATTCCATTCATTTTGTCCATTTGCCCATTCACCGTCATAAACACTGCCGTCAGTTTTGTTGTATGAACACCTTGCCCGCTTCTGATGATAACTGCCATCTTCTTGAATGTATTCACCCTCTGTAATCAAAGTTAAAATTTTAGATACATTACCATCACTAAATCTTTTAAAAACATTGTATGCTACATATGATAACTAAATTAACATTAAGAAAATTACTTATCTAGATGCGAGCACCCCGTGACACACAAAATGTGTGGTGATTCTTTGATATAACTTGAAAACCTTTTTAAAAAAACCCTGCCTTTAAAGACACATCTTTAAAGTATATTTACAAGGAATAGCATTGACTATTATTTACCGTATTTGTCTCCATTTGGGAACACAAAAGTTCCTGACAGAATGGCAGGTGGACCATCTTCCACTTTCTTCTGTCCTTTTTTCTCTGTAACAGACAATAGTAAAAAGAGATCATTTGAAACTGGTAGCATAATTTTATGTGGATATAAATTCCCATTTAATCCCGGGATTATAACTAACAAATGTTTACAGATACAATAAATGTAACAAAAATAAGTGCAATTCTTGATCACTCTATTGTGAGCAGTAGTACATGCACCATGAAGCATTAATTTATTAAGGTAACAGTCATTTGTTTGTACCCTGGGATTAGAGGGGAAATTATGCCACAAGTTTTGAGTTCTGGATAACATCCAATGAGTATTATAATAAAATGGTATGTGTAAAGATGTAAATTAACCATGAACACTTGACACATACTAAACTTTTTATTTGTATCTTCTAATTTATAATTGTATGATTAACCCTTTCACTGCCATAGGGACGGCTTAAGCCGTCCCTGTTATTTTCGGCGTATTTGCCATATGGACGGCTTTAGCTGTTTCTATAATAATAATAGTAATAATAATAAATTAATAATAATAATAGTAATAATAATAAATAATAATAAAGAAAATTATACCATAAAGACAATAATTATTATTATAAGATTAACAGATTTAGAAAACATATATAATTATTATAATACTAATAACAAATAATAATAATTATATTAATTAATAATATAGTAATTTCTTAGAAAATCCTCTGGCAAATAGGTGAACAATAAAACAATAACCCTCTGGCAGCGAAAGGGTTAATGTATATAAATAGCTATATATAAATAAAGTTTAAACTTGAGCACATGATATAAGTTATTGAGCATTAAGCCTCTGAATTATGGTTACCTCTTCTAAATGATTATAATGATCTTTAGATAATAATTTGTATTTACAGAATTGTAAGTTATCATTTTATGAAATATCTTAACGCTAAGGAAAAATGTACAGATATTACATGAAAAGCTGTTACTCGTAAATGATATGTGAAATTTATAATACAATTGTAATACCTTTATATATATTTCTTTTAAATAAAAACTAGATTTTTGCATGAGAATTATATATATAAAAAACAAAGATTTAATCAGTTTTTTAATGAGTGAAGATGTAAAATGAGAGCATATAATAATATTAATTTACACAAATGTCAAAAACACCACTGTTTGACCATAAAATTTTACACATATTTCTACGGTTGTCAAAATTCTTGTTGCATTTAAATTTCATGACTAAAAGAAGAAAATATTATTTAACAATGAGTCATTTAATGGTACTTAGATGCAATAAATCATTTTATCACATAAACAAGCGTTAAAGCATGTTAATGTTAGCGTTACAATTACAATAGGTGCTTCAATGAAAAATGGCTATTTTTAACTGTTTATGGTTCTTATCTTATGAATAATTTAATATGACAAATAGAATATCATATTCGTGTAGATTCAATACTTAATTTATGAACTTGTTGAATAAAACAATATTATGCTCACCAGGGGCTAGCATAATATTGTTTTATTCAACTCATTCAATAAATTCAGTATTAAACCTACACTCATTTATTATCCTCTATATAGGTAATCAGCCTTAGATCAGAGAATATAATAAAGATAAAAAAAGTATAAATAAAGAATTTTATTATATACTTATAAATGAAAAATTGAGAAATATTGATGAAATAAAATGCGTATTTTCATTTTCCGTATTTTCACTGTAAAAATTTATTTTTCACTGCAGTGAAACATATTTTCCGTATTTTCACTGGTGTCTTGCCGGACTACTTTCTTTTAAATTCTACCAACTGGTACACAAAATTTAAGGGAAAGTTTTTCAATTTTTATCGCAAAAAAGAGAAATATGTACATAAGAAACAGAAAATTCAAGTTTTTTCTATAAATACATGATTTATTTTCATCTTGTGGCATGAAAATTACCATATTTCACTCGTGGCTACCGCCACTCATGAAATATTTATTTTCATACCACTCGATGAAAATAAATCATGTATTTATAGAAAAAACTTGAATATCCTCTATATGATCAAACAGTAGCAGTGTGTCAGAAATACAGAATGTTATATATAATACTGCTACCATAAAAGTAATGTTAGATTATCTTATATCTGTCAGTCTGGGAATAGCATCTGACCCTTGACCAGGATATTGCAAAGGCTGCCGGGGTAAAAGAATCATAAGCAGGAAAGAACAGGAAGTTTCTCTTCTTTCCAACTCTTTGTATTAATTTGCTTAATACAAAAATTTAGAAGAAATTACCTTGCAAGGAGGAATATTCAACATACAAGGGGCAAAAAATTGTGAAGTGGAGTACCGTAAAATCTATCTCACCTACAGAGTATCAAGACAATATATTTTGGTAACTTAAATTATGATACTTTTATCATAATACCCCATCATACAATTTAGTTACGAATTTATAAGTAAAGTAAAATAAGAAATGAAACTTAAAGTTTTTGCAATTCAGATTAAAAATTGATTTATAGAATTTATTTAGATTTTGCATGATTTTAGAATAACTGATTCGCCTAAAAAAGATAATTGGGGGTCACCAATCTTGTTTTATGGTTTGCAAAAAAAATAAATAAAAAAAATAGCAGATAAAGCCATGTGAGCAGTCAACCATCAACTGTTGTGGATTATAAACTTCTTCACAAGAAAGCATCAAATCTTTGCAGACTTTGAACCAACAGCAGGTGAGGGGCAAGAGGTTTGAAGTCTGAGAGGCAGTCACTTTAACTTATCAGCCATGGTGACATTCCCCAACTGGATATGAATTGATAACATCATTGTAAAAAGTTCCTTGGAATGAATTTGATTACTTGAAGCTCAATAAAAAAGTGTTAGAGTTAGTATATGAACTACAAAATGAAAAATATAAGTATTCTTTATTGTTAATCAATAATTCTAATGGCAAAACATTAGAAATGAATTATGAATACATGTTCTTATGTATATACCAAAGACAAAAAACAACACATCTTTACAGAATTCTATACAACATCTGTTTGTTAAATAAAACATTTCAACACTGAACACTGACAGTGAAAATCATAATCTTATGCCATATTTTCATTCTAATAAAATTTAACTTATCAGATTGTTGAGATACATACATTTATATCTATCAAACCTAAAACAATGTTTGATGAAGGAGTTATAACTAACTTTAGTACCACCTTTGCAGAGCAACACTCTGTGGGAGACAACTACAGTTTTGGATATTGCTGTGAGGTATTGCTCTAAAGATCTTTTATATCTATAAGTTTTGAAGTTTTGTTTTGGTAAAAATTGTTACTGCATTTAGTAAAGAGACGTTAATTTGCTCTACAAAGGGTCTCCCTCTGCAGGGGTTGTACTTTCTACTATACTGGGCAATTTACAGTTAAGATCAAACTTAGTTCTCCGATACCAGGCTACGACACGTTAACTTTAAAGATGTTACTTGATTCAACTCTTATATTGTTTTTTTTATACTAATTTTGGTAGGGAAATAACATGAAGATTGTTATAGTCATTTTAATGGACTTCATCTCTTTTATCTTTTATAAAAGAAAACGTTTAGTGCCACTATTTCGATCATTTGACCAGCACATATGTGTTGTAGAACCTCCATTACCTCCAGTAAGCTTGCTGAATTTTTTCATCAAAGTTTAAATTATTCAAATTGATCCAAACTGAAATTCTGTGATAAGTAATGCAAATTAAAAGCAACATATTAAAACACTTGACCACATAGTTCCTTAATAAATATTTCAATGTGAATGCCAGGGAACTGTGTTGGAATTTCAAAGGCACAATAAAAGGGTAGTTTGTTGTTTGTTTTTCAGACTGTATTAAAGTATTATATAAGTCATGAAAGAAGTTCAAGTTTATCAGTATTTACCTCTGTGTTAATCTGAAGAGAAGAGAAGAGACTATGGGTTCAACATGAAAGGAACTCCACTTTAAGGCCCAAAAGCCCAAAATCAAATGATTTCTTACAAAGATCAACTGGGGCACTTATGAAAGAAAGATTATACAAAAGATAATTAAGAAATATACTGAGAAATGGGTCAAAGACAGAAAAGGCCGGTTTGCATTTGTACACCAAATATCATGAGGCTGTGATGTTACGAAAATTTTTTTCCACAGACCCATTAATGTCGAAAATTTAAATTCAGTAGGTAAACAGGAAGTGGATTAGCTACACACCTATAATCGAATCCCACAGTATGGGACCATGTGTCAATGCTGTAATGCCAAATATCAAGAGGCTGTGATAAGTAGTTTCTGAGAAAAATGTTACGAAAATTTCCTACCATTGACCATTAATGTGAACAGGAAGTGGAGCTGCAGACTTGAAATCGAATCCCACAGTATGGGACCATGTGTCATTATGCTGCATGCCAAATTTCAAGAGGCTGTGATAAGTAGTTGCTGAGAAAACTGTTACGAAAATTTCCTACCATTGACGCACTAATGTCGAAAATCTAACTAATTTAACTAAGTGGATAAACAGGAAGTGGATGAGCGACAGACCTGAAATCCAATCCCACGGTATGGGACCATGTGTCAATGCTGTATGCCAAATATCAAGAGGCTGTGATAAGTAGTTGCTGAGAAAACTGTTACGAAAATTTCCTACCATTGACCATTAATGTCAAAAAATCTAACTAATTTAACTAAGTGGATAAACAGGAAGTGGAGGAGCGACAGACCTGAAATTGACTCCCACGGTATGGGACCATGTGTCAATGCTGTATGCCAAATAATCAAGAGGCTGTGATAAGTAGTTGCTGAGAAAACTGTTACGAAAATTTCCTACCATTGACCATTAATGTTGAAAAATCCAACTAATTTAACTAAGTGGATAAAACAGGAAGTGGATGAGCGACAGACCTGAAATCCAATCCCACGGTATGGGACCATGTGTGTCAATGCTGTATGCCAAATATCAAGAGGCTGTGATAAGTAGTTGCTGAGAAAACTGTTACGAAAAATTTCCTACCATTGACCATTAATGTCAAAAAATACTAACTAATTTTAACTAAGTGGATAAACAGGAAGTGGAGGAGCGACAGACCTGAAATTGACTCCCACGGTATGGGACCATGTGTCAATGCTGTATGCCAAATATCAAGAGGCTGTGATAAGTAGTTGCTGAGAAAACTGTTACGAAAATTTCCTACCATTGACCATTAATGTCAAAAAATCTAACTAATTTAACTAAGTGGATAAACAGGAAGTGGAGGAGCGACAGACCTGAAATTGACTCCCACGGTATGGGACCATGTGTCAATGCTGTATGCCAAATATCAAGAGGCTGTGATAAAGTAGTTGCTGAGAAACACTGTTACGTAAAATTTCCTACCATTGACCATTAATGTCAAAAAATCTAACTAATTTAACTAAGTGGATAAACAGGAAGTGGAAGAGCGACAGACCTGAAATTGAATCCCACGGTATGGGACCATGTGTCAATGCTGTATGCCAAATATCAAGAGGCTGTGATAAGTAGTTGCATAGAAAACTGTTACGAAAAATTTATCCTACCATTGACCATTAATGTCAAAAAATCTAACTAATTTAACTAAGTGGATAAACAGGAAGTGGAGGAGCGACAGACCTGAAATTGACTCCCACGGTATGGGTACAATGTGTCAATGCTGTATGCCTAAATATCAAGAGGCTGTGATAAGTAGTTGCTGAGAAAACTTTGTTACGAAAATTTCCTACCATTGACCATTAATGTCAATTAAAATCTAACTAATTTAACTAAGTGGATAAACAGGAAGTGGAGGAGCGACAGACCTGAAAACTTGTTAATCCCACGGTATGGGACCATGTGTCAATGCTGTTATGCCAAATATCAAGAGGCTGTGATAAGTTAGTTGCATAGAAAACTGTTACGAAAATTTACCATTACCATTAATGTTGAAAATTCCAACAATTAAATAATATTAAAATATAATAATAAAAGAAAATAAAGATATAAAAAAAAAAAAAAAAAAAAAAATAGAAAAAATCCTTACAAATTATAAAAATTAATTTTATACTAAGTGGATAAACAGGAAGTGGTATGAGCGACAGACCTGAAATCCAATCCCACGGTATGGGACCATGTGTCAATGCTGTATGCCAAATATCAAGAGGCTGACTGATTAAGTAGTTGCTGAGAAAACTGTTACGAAAATTTTCCTACCATTGACCATTAATGTCAAAAATCTAACTAATTTAACTAAGTGGATAAACAGGAAGTGGATGAGCGACAGATCCTGAAATTTGAAATCCACACGGTATGGGACCATGTGTCAATGCTGTATGCCAAATATCAGAGAGGCTGTGATAAGTAGTTGCTGAGAAAACTGTTACGAAAATTTCCTACCATTGACCATCTAATGTCAAAAAAATCTAACTAATTTAACTACGTGGATAAACAGGAAGTGGAGGAGCGACAGACCTGAAATTGACTCCCACGGTATGGGACCATGTGTCAATGCTGGTATGCCAAATATCAAGAGGCTGTGATAAGCAGTTGCTGAGAAAACTGTTACGAAAAATATTTTCCCCGCCCGCCTGCCCGCCCCCCGCCGCCCGACATTCACCATACTATTAACCCGGATTTGCACCAGTGCAACCCGGCCAAAAATTGAAAATCATATTTTTGTCCTCTAATCTTAGCTTTGGCCTATTTGAGTGAAATTTTAAGCATTGCAATTTTGGGTCATTTTCGACAATAAGAATATTTATTATTATTCTGGAAAAAATGGAGAGAGAGAATGATCTGAAATTTTGCACACTTTCATTTAATGGTCTAGACCTACATCAAAAGGCAAAATAATATTTCAAGTCCCGCCATGTAAAAAAAATCTCAGTGGAGTACCTTTAGGGTCAAATTCATCAACATTATTTTGCAATTTTACTTTTTAGCTTTAATGTGGAACATTTAAACTTCCCTTTTAAAGACTACAGATACTATCATGGACCATTTATCATTTGAATATTATTTTTCAGTCATACTTTTCATCATAGTCCAACAGTACTAAAAGTATAGAAATTATATATATCATACATATTACAGAAAGTTCTTTCAAACAGACAATAAATATAACCAGTATACCGTGAAATTTGACTGGAATATTATATTCATAATATATATATATATATACATATCACTTAAAAAAGTAAGATTATTAAATTTTTTGTGGTGTTTTTGCTCTGGGTTTTTTTTCAGTCTATTAAAATATTAATTTTGACAAAATATCTGATACATTTGTTGACTTTTTAAAAAGTCTGTTTTACTGAATGATCAATCTGACAGCCTTTAACAGTGACAAAACTAGTAACAATATAACAGTTTTTCTCTTCCAAGCAACAGAATTAACAAGTTTCTGGATAGATAACAACACATCTAATACCTGCTATGTCCTCTGTAAGAAAAACAAACATATATATATTCTAAAACTATGTGCATGCAATTACAAATAAAAAATAGTGCTATATAACATAAAACATAGCTTAATTCAATGTACATTTGAAATTGACACTAATAATGAAACAAACTCAAACAAGAAAACGTATGTTGGCCAGTTAAAAGTTTACATAAAAAAATAAAATAAAATCAATCTTTTTATCCATTTGTTTACTGGCTGGCAGGATAAGAGATGATATAGTTACCAATTAAGGTCTCCAGTCTGCACTGGTTTTGATTTAAAAGTGTGCAAGACTATATTATACCGGGAATCAAATGCTATAGTCTACAAGTTGTCTACAGCCATTAAAGTGATAAACTTAATGACTGATGTAAAATTAAGAATGCAAATATATCTACATTTAAACACTAAAATCTTTGTGTTACCCGGCAATTTTAAACAAGATTAATACGGGGAACTCAAAGTCCGGGCCTGCTCTTTGGCTTGTATGGCTATAGACTACAGGTGTATATTTAAAAGAAAATCAAATAAAAAAAACATTTAAAACATAGAATTCTAAACCTATCAATTAAATTTCCAGTGTCAGTTCTAGTTATGCGCCACCATTTACAAAGTAACTCAATGATAAAATACTGTGAATTCTGATAACTTATCGGATTAATAATAAACGTTAAGTGTTCCAAGTGAAAACGGAAGCAGTGCATGAAATACCGAATTACACCTTTAAAAAGAAAAAATGAAAAGAATTTTCAACGACTTCCTTGTTCATAGGCTTTGCCTAATTTCATAGTATGGTGGTCATAAAAGTAATGAGATTGATTTCTGATTAGGGTAAACAGCATCTCTTAAATAGAAAGATCCTCAGGTAAATCGTCATTAATTTACTTGTTTAATCATTTATGGTACGAGTAGTCAGTAGGACGAATCGTTCATTTCGTATCAATTCCTTAATACCATAAATTATAACATAACTATAATTGCCTGATATAAATAATCATATTATCTAATATGTTTGTTACCTCCTGGCATTGTTAAACTGTAATTTTTGTCCGTAAATAACAAAGAAATATCAACTTAAAGTGAAATTTAATAAAAGACCATGGGCGCAGCCATTTGCAAACGTTGTCATGGAGTCACGTGAGAAGCTAGCATTTTATCCGAATATTTTCCAAACGATTTATTTTCATTTTCTTATTTAAACAGCTTTATATTTATAAATAAACTACCACTGTATTTTTTAATTGTGCAGAATCATTATTTTCTTAAATTTGTTTAAAATGAAAATGAAGGTCAACAATCGAAACTAACCAAGGATTTCTGACGGTCACTGGGGCAGTTTGCTCCAAATATAAAAATGTTTCGGCCAGCGTTTGCAGCACGACAGGTGATTCAAAGATGTTCGCAAAGACGGGCACTAGCATGTGCTATCCATTTGAACAAAACAAACATCTGCAATAAAGATAGTCGAGCATAGTAAGAGCAAATTGTTATAATGTCACATATATCCGCGACCGTATTTGTTATTATTTTTTGGGGTTCAAATGCGTCGGTATTAATTGATGTTTATTCTGTATGAACTATACTTATAACTGGTGACTCTTTCATATAAACATAGTTTAATAATTCTTATACTTTTAATTGTAGAATCTGTAAATGTAGCTAAAATGCCAAGAAAATTAAATAGAGTCACCGTACCAGTGCTCAACCAGTTTTTCACAAAATCACATAAAAACTCTTTCAGAACAAAAGGTTTGCTGGGAAACTTATTTTTGTTACAAAGCTGGACCTTTCAAACTCACAATAAGCTAAAGCGTTTTAATAACACAGATTAGGATACAATTTACCACGGAGTTGGATATAGGGTATAAAACCACTATATTTTTCAGACAAAACAAACCAGTGCTCGACCAGGTGGTTTATCTCTATTCAGAACTTTTATTTCTTAAAAACAGATATGACTTTTTATGTTTCAACAATTCCTATTTTAAAAAATATTTTGAAACATTTATGTTTTATTGTCTATAGATTGAAAAATATGATAGCAAATATGATACAAAGGAAATGTTATACATTGACAAAATAAAGTGTTTATAAAGAGTTTTGGAATTTACATATACTGGGGCGTTTGAGATTACTTATTCTCATTTTTTTTTTTATAAAATCACTCTGCAAACATAGTTAAGTTGATAATTGTGTAATATACAAATGGTCTACGCTTTTAGTGGTGTGTTCCCGATTTGTTTCCGTACGGATGCCATATTTGTTTACATGTTCATAGCCCTTGCCTTTATGGAAAGCAGGGTTTTGATAATTGTTGAACACCTTTCCTATGGAAATCAATTGGAATCATAAAAGTAAAGGCAATTTAACAAATATTGTCCACATTTGCCCTAAATTATCATTTTTTCAGTGTTTTAGATAGTTTTTACTGCTACTTTTATTATAAAATTGTATTTTTGTACTGTTTAATATTGTCTGCAAAATGGCCTATCTTCTACCAAACTTGGAGTACTTGTACATGGTGTAGAGGTTACAGGTCAGGTACAAAGAGCAAGCACAAACTCACAGGGTTTTTCCACTTTAATGCATAAATCATACACAAATAGAAGTATTGGTCGAGCACTGGGCTGGTCGAGCATAGGTACTGTGACTCTAAAGGTCATGTTGTCTGGTTATTCATACAGTAAGCACAGGAGCTTGACATTCTATAAATAATTGAAAAATAAAGGCAAATATAACCTCTTTACTAAATGGACATAAGGAATGCAATGCATTTTAAAGAAACACAACTCCCCTTCTGCCGACTTGACACAAGTTTTATCTAATTACATGGGTGGGAAATCAATTTCAGCGTTACAAACTGGTTTAGCCATTTTGATAGACAATACAAAATTATACCTTTTACAACCGCTGATGTTTTAATTCAATTAAGATTTAGTACTTGTTTGTATTTTAGCTAGAGTTAAGAAACAAAGGTAGTAATTTATTATTCACAGATTCAAAAACCTAGCGAAACAGTTTTCTGGTAATTTCTGTACATTCCACATGTTAGCTCTGGGGAATTCACTTAAATGATGTGTAATAGCGATAAGTTTTTGATTTCTTTTTTAAGAAAATGATTAAATATTATTGTACAAATAAGTCCATGCAAAAAAATAAGTAAATACACAAGTTTATACAGAAATATCTATTTATTAAGGCTGGTGCTATAACTTTAATTACTATAACTGTTTTAAATTTATAGATTTTCATTATAAATAGATTCCGAAAAAAGGCCTCTTCCCAATTGAAATTTTCTTTAAAGTCATGCAGTTTTCCCAAAAATCTAACCTTTAAATATATTTTTTACTTCCCAATCAGCAATTTTAGCCATAACTTTTCCCAAAATCAAGAGGCTAAGGCCTCTTCCCAATTAAGTTGGAAAAATCACTGCAGCAATTATTAGCACAATATTGATGTGATTTTATTCCACTGGATATTGTCAACATCAGGGTTTTCATTATAAAGGAAATAAAAGAAATTTTGTGTTTCTAGCGATAGCAGGCCAGCATACTGCAAACTTTGCGGGTTTCTCCTGTCCTGTACTGTATGTTAGACTTAGCATTCTTGGGCATTGAGTGGGGATATAAAAATCCAAAAGTGAAAGTTCCCGCTGAAGCCAGGGAGGGGAATGTTGTTATAATCAACTCGGGTGCATTACAATCTAAATATTAATTTATTTTATCTGTCTCAATGTGAAATAAAAAGAAATATTTTATTCAATTGATGAACACAGGAATTTTGTTACATTCATACATGTTTTATATTTTCAGCTGCCAGTGTCCCAGTGTTTTGAATTTGCAATCAAAGAGTAGACCATGGATATCACATAAAAGATTTTATTCAGGTAACTTACTGAAAGGTTGTATTCTTGTCAACAAAACATCAGGTCACATGTTTTTCTCTATATGGCATTGTTTTTTCTTGAAAATACAAAACTATAGGAAATAACCAGACAAACTAAAATAGAGTAGCAGTAATATAATATATAACTGTACCATATTTTAAAGAAAGCATCTGTAAAAAAGAAGATGAGATAAAAATTGATAGGTCTTGTTAAACACAATTATGTTGACCTTAAAATGAAAATTTTGAGATTTCTATTCAATTTCTTTTAAAAGCATGTTTTGTAGCTGTTTATTGGATAGTCATGACAATTATATAGTAATTATGTGACCGTCAGTTTATGAAGAAATCTCACTTTTTCTCTAAAAAAGGAAGTTTGCTGTATTATAAATATTGCTGACAGGTTATACAGTCGTATATATAAATAGTTGTTAGCAGTATAACCTATTTTCAAATAATCATTTATATAGGGCCATATAACCTGTCAAAAATCTTTATAACTAATGATATACACACACTGAAGTATTATCAGTTATTTGCATTTTAAAGAAAAAAAATCTTTATACAATATTCTTTGCTACATTTACATGAACATGTATCAATATTAAGAATTGGACATGTATAATGATAAATACATGTGTAATATTAATT